GTCATGCAAAGACTGCAAACTACAAATCTACTTATGTATTTAATATTTTATGACTTTCATAACAACTGTTTGTCACAGGTCACACACATAGAAATGTTCAAACACACCTTAGACATGAGTATATGCAAGCATCAATACTAGTAATGGATTGAGCAATATGTGACAGGAGGAAGTAAAGGCTGACACATAGAGTGTAATTACCATCAACCAGGATTATAGCTTCACTCTTTCAACACTGGAGCATGCCAGAAGCCTAAGTCCTTGCTCACATAAATATTTTAGTTCTTTTATCAAGGTTTCATATGATTTCATGGAGTCCTCATATGCTTTCATATCAAAGAATTTATTTGCAGTAAGAATGAAGTACTCGTATAAAAGTCATTGTGGTAGTAACATTAGCCTTTTGCATTTCAGAGCTTTATTTATGATGCTGAAATATATTGGTCACGTGGTTATTGGTAAAGGTATCAATATTTGGTGGTTAAGGGGGGTTGGTTTTGAATTGTTTATTGTCTGATTAATGGGTTTCTTAAAGTCAGTGTCTAATGGTCTGGTTTACAGTATAAAGAAAAGAGAATAAAATCATATCAGGTCTTGGTAAATGGAGATCTGCCCGAAGGGTCCACCTACTGTTTTATGATTGATAAATATAATATTGACTAGGAAGATGAGAAGCTGACCAAGCATGAAGTTCTTGAACTTGCAAGGCCGGGTCCATGCAACATTACAATAAGAAGAGTTATTAACACTGCTAAAACAGCACAGCACAGCACAGCACAGCACAGCACAGCACAGCACACAGACAGACAGACAGACAGACAGACAGAATCTCCAATGAGTTTACTGCCTGTTGCAACTCAATCATCATCATCATCATCTCAATTATCCAATGTATTTATTTCTAGCTTCTAGAAAATTCTACTGTCCTATCAATCACTCTTGCTATCACGTTATGTGTCACTGTTTCACATCCAGTAAACAAATGCTCTATGAACTGCTTATTTAAGGATTTGTAATGATCATCAATCATGTATATAATTCCTTATGAAAGACACAGCTTTCTGCAACATAGTTGATATTTAGAGTAAATTTTGTACTTCACAAGGAATATAATGACACAATTATCTACTTTTATATATGAATGATCAATAGTTAACCCTGCTTTGTTGTACATATATCTACCATGGAGATGTTCCTTGCTGTCAAAGAGGCAAAGATGAAAGGGAGGTCTGTCAGGTTTCCTCATTCATTGCTTGTTAATTGCAGGGTGGGCCAAATTCAGTCGGGAACGAGGAAGGTGCATGATGTGAACGAGAACGACCAACTAATTGACTTAATGACAAAAACGTGATGACTGGTTGAAAAATGACCAGCTTGTTTTGGGGGAGTTGAAATATACCTTCATGAAATTATGATGGATATGCCTATAGGAATTTTGGTTTGCAACTCTTCAGGATTTATAGCAAGATGATTAAATGGTTAAAGAAACCCATGATGGATGGGGTCGGGGAAAATTAATATGTGGTTATAAATCATTTGGCTTACAGTACGGAAGATGTCGTTTCTCCCAACTTCAAAGCCGGGATATTTTATGATGTCATTATTTGACTGATTTAACCAGATAATTATATGCATACCTCAAAAACCAGGTAAACTAATGCCTCTTGTCTATTTTTAAGACCACTTGACCAAAGGCATACATTTCCCTTAGATTAAGAAAAAAGTTCATCAGCTTAAAGATTTAAGTGGTTAATGAAACAAGATATTTCAGAAACAAAATTTACAGGAATATTTACAGGAAGTTGTAATTAACAGAACAAAGTTTCATACAAATAATTCCTTTTAAAGACAAACATGAAACTGTTCCGAATACATATCGCTTGTAAACCTTTTACTGTATGACGACACACGGATCCTTTCTCAGAATACAAGGTCATGAATGTCTTCATAATATCATTAGTTTCATACAAGGTGAAACATAGACAAAGTCATAAACATCAAAAACATTTCTTCAGCCAAACGCTAAACTTGGTTGTTGGAAAAGATTTCTCACAGTTTGGTCTACAGGGAAATTCTGCATATGGTAATTCATGAAAATTGGTCATTGCAAAGAAATAAGACATTAAAACAATACAATGAAAGCTGGCTTCAAAATGACTGTTTCTCCCTTTGTTACTTTCATGGCCCTTCTCACAAGTCTATGGTGATTACATATGATGAGGACTGACATATTCTAGCTAAGCGCCAATGGCAAATGCCATGAAATTGTAAGAGAATTCACATTATTCAGAGTAACATATACACTACATTTCTCCATAGACCTTGACTGTTTTAAAGACATGTGTGAGTTGGGGGCTTGAATCACAGGTTACATGAAGTCACAAATGTGCCCATGTTGGTGTAGCGGCCATAAAATGGCCATCAAGTCCTGTGATGGGATTTGAACCACGGACCTTCTGATCCAAGGTTGGACGCCTTGTCCACATGACCAAAGAGGTGAACCCCGTCAGCAAGCTGACAAGGTAAGGATGTCAACTGTGGGATGACTCCACGCCCTGCTACAGACTCCCCCGTCAACAGAAGGCACGTCCCGGGACGCATAGTAGGGTACTGAGGCTTATTTTACTCAAATTTAATATGAACGTGCTCAGCCCCACGTTGGGCGCCAATGTAGCAGCCATAAAATTTCCGAGTCCCGTGATGGGATTCGAACCACGGACCTTCTGACCATAGGTCGGACGCCTTGTCCACATGACCAAAGAGGTTAACCCCGTCAGCAAGCTGACAAGGTAAGGATGTCATCTGTAGGACGACTCCACGCCCTGCTACATTGGGAATCACACCCAGATTGCCCAGGTCTCCTGTACACTCAATCCTGTACAGCGAACATGCAATAACCGCAGGGCCACCACACATGCTCCTGCTACTTGGCCTAAGTGATTTGCCACACACAGGTCAGTCTATCAGTGCTTCATGATGCTGTATGAATTTGTTTTTCAGATGCTCATATACATATACACACAACATATGCAAATAATGTTGTTTGAAGTGAGCTCCCAAAGTCAACAAGCTTCTAAGTCACAGCTGTGTAAATAAGTATACCCACAACTGCATTTTCACAGGTTTTTCTTGACTGAGAAGTCACTTCCCACTTGGTATGCCATTGCATGTAAACACAGTGCTAAGTTCAAATACATTATGTGTACAGTAGTAAGTTCCTCAGCTCTAACATCAAAGTCTAGACAGATTGATCGTGTCCTTATTAGGCAAATTAAGTACATACCAGGGAGTGAAGACTTCATATAATCATTTCTGTTTCAGTGAGAACTGACCTCAGATGGAGAACCATTATCAGTGAAATGCCACATAGGACAGCCTCATGCGACTAATGAGAGAATGTGTAGCACTGGTGTTCTTAATGAGGGAGGTTGTACCATAGGTGTTCTTAATGAGGGAGGGTGTACCAAAGGTGTTCTTAAAGAGGGTGAGTGTACCATAGGTGTTCTTAATGATGATTGGTGTACCATAAGTGTTCTTAATGAGGGAGGTTGTACCATAGGTGTTCATAATGAGGGTGAGTGTACCATAGGTGTTCTTAATGAGGGAGGGTGTACCATGGTGTTCTTAATGAGGGTGAGTGTACCATAGGTGTTCTTAATGAGGGAGGGTGTACCATAGGTTTTCTTAATGAGGGAGGGTGTACTACAGGCATTTTAATGAGGGAGAGTGTACCATGGTGTTCTTAATGAGGGAGGGTGTACCATGGTGTTCTTAATGAGGGAGGGTGTACTACAGGCATTTTAATGAGGGAGGGTGTACCATGGTGTTCTTAATGAGGGAGGGTGTACTACAGGCATTTTAATGAGGGAGAGTGTACTAGTGTACCCCAGGCATTTTAATGAGGGAGGGTGTACCATAGGTGTTCTTAATGATGATTGGTGTACCATAGGTGTTCTTAATGAGTGTGGGTGTACCATAGGTGTTCTTAATGAGGAACAGTGTACCATTGGGAAAATATGTGTGTACTAAAACTATAGGCATTTTAATGATGGAGATATGTTTAAATGGACAATATGATATAGGCTTTTTAAGGAAATTGATACTACAGATTAATATTATAACAGAGGTCAATCTCTATCAAACAAACGCAGCACAGCTTCCCTGTCATTGGCGCCATCCACATGCCCCAAATCAATACTACTCTTGCAAAGTGAGAAAAAGGACATCTAGATGATTGACATGAGTTGCTGTAAAATTTAATTAAACTTGTGTTGTTGCAACCATATAATTCAGGAACAATTAATGAAAAGTTACATGTCCTGTTTTAAGATGTGAAAACAAGCATCTTTAAAATTATTTTGATATGAAACACCTGGTGTCATCACTGATTTTCAGTGATCGCCGTTCCTATCATTTTCACTGCTGTTTTGCCTTTTACACTCAACTCGATCTAATCCATTTTGTCAGATAATCGAAACTGGTTATTCTCTGGCGTTGACATTTTATAATTGTAACAGTTCCACAGAAAATTTATTTACACCCTTTCAATTGTTTTCCCTGTTTCCTGACATATGATACGACCTTACTACCTTGAGAAACACAGACAGTGTTCTCTTACCAACTATTCGTCAGGTATTGGTGTTATTTAGACATTTGCGGAAATGAGGTCAATATGTAGAGTTTCCAAAAGTTACATTGACTTGTAGGACATATGAAACTAATGAAGTATTACTGCTTAACATTTTCAGGTTTATATATACACTCAAAATTGTGTTTGTTAAGAGTCTGGGTTCAGAATGTCTAACTTGTTCTCTGTTTGCAAAAAGAACATTGCTTATATCATTAGTAAGCAAGCGCTGTCACTTTGAACTACTACTAACATGAGCTAATGGAAAAAGTAAAGTGTTGACGCATAGCTTGAGAATTCATTGCATTGATGCAGCCGAAGCTGTCCACGATGAGTGCGTCTTTAACTGATGCTCACTGATGGCACAACATACCTGTTTCGTGCCCAGGTGCTGCACCACACAGGGTAGATGTGCCGTGTGCCCCATCCGGACATTCACAGTCGTCTGGTTGGGGGTCACATACACGGAATCCTTGAGGGGAGGGCGCTTGTACATCGGTCCAATGTACTCCGGTTCCCTGTGCTCGTACTTGTGCCGGTGACGCTGGGGAACATGCTTCTTGTTTTGTTCTGGAACAAAATAGGAAATAAACTAAAATTGATTGATGAAAAAGAGGAAATTGTTACAAGTTTATAAAGTAGGGGATAGAAACAAGCACTTTGTACAGTAAAGTATGGTTATAATGAACTCAAAGGGACCACAAATTTCTGTTCTTTATAACCGTAGTTCATTGTAAGTATCTACAGATATTGTAAATATCACTGCAATGAAATTGAATCACAATTCTTTGTAGACCATTGTTACGTCATTGGTTACCATGACGTCACAATCAAATGACATCACTAATGGCTCTGCTACTGAAGCTGTCAGTAGTACTTTTTACACTAAAGACACTGCTTATTACTGTCTACAAACTGAAAAAGTTGGGAGAATGATGTTGGATGATAAATGGAATCTCACCCTTGTGTCTTTTGATATCAACTATAGAAACACTTGTTGATAAAAGTAAAAAAATCAGAAGCTTGATATAGTTGATATCAAAAGACACTTGAGCGAGATTTTCCATATATTAGTGATAGTTTCACTGACATACAGACACAAGAGTCTTCAATTATTTATTGCCTCTTTGAACAGCCTCGCATGGTGACACGTGAGCAGCGCAGAGATTAACAGTTCATATTCATAATAAACATAAACATTGTCATTCAGAGTACACACGGGACCACAAGACAAGTTCGCTGTATATATAACAAATGGCTGGGACCAAAATATAGTTTGTTACATCCGTCAATTTGGTATAAGCGTGTTCGTAATAAACATAGTTTACTGTATTACTAAAGTCAGAGTGAAAGGGTGTCTGATGTAGTCAGTAGTTCTATAGATATCACAGCAACAAACATGCCCCTTAGGGAGACACAAACTGATTTGCCACATAGGAATACCCAATTGGACAGCACACCGGCAAAAACATAAAAACCTCTGTCCTGATATCCATGCACTTTCACTGTCCACTTTGTGCTGTTTAGAGCTTGGGGCCACAAAGCAATATTAGTTGCTATGGCTTTTTAAGTCTGTGTTAAACAACGCAAGTTATGACAAAGACTGTTTCGTGGAAGGTCATTCAAGTAGCCTTGAAATATTGCTTAAAAAGATTATTGCAGATGCATGCCTTTCTTTTTGGCTATGAAAGACTTCGGTTTGGAGTTCTGTATTCATGTGTTGCATGCACACAATTACCATTGAAGTTCAGCCCTGACCCAGGCTTATTGTTGCTTGTCATGGAACAAGCTATGTAATGTGCTTGTGCATGGACTTTAAGGCAGTATCTACTCCAACATGGAGAACCAATACATATACTTCATAATTACTTCTAATTAATCCAAGGGGCACGGTTGGCTCTGTCTGCAGTTGCTGCAATTCACTTTGCAGGGTTGCGTCCCTTGGGTGGGTTATCCAATGATCTTGAGTTCAAATCCCTGATAATGATTCTTGGTTTGTCTGCACCATACATGACTTAGGGTTTCAGCATAGTGGTAAATTTCTAACAGCTGCATCACATTAGGATTTCTTTCCACTTTAATCTGACTTGCTGTGATATGACGGAAGTACTGTTTAAGGTACTGAACCCAACTTACGAAATAAAGTGTGTACAATCAGCTACTGCCTTCTTCATCAAAACAATTGAAAAAAGTAAAAAAGTGAAATGATAGTTCTCAGCTATATATGATACAGAATATCCTGATATGTCAAAAATATTCTAAGATGAAAAAATTATTAAAAATTGTCAAAGGCCCTTTCTTCTAATGATTTTTTTCTTTTTATTTCAACTCTGAATCAATATATTTGCAAACCTAGAACTGTGAGTCATGCTGTAACTCACCACATCGATCTCCATAAAATTCCTCATGTTAAAACAGGATCCCCATGTTGTTAAAGTAAGTGTGAAATGGAGACAGAAGCTTACACTGATTTGCCCACTGCTGATCTGACTGACAGCTAGAAATCACTGAGGCAGTCCTACAGCATAAACAAATCCCACTCAAAGGTAAGAACTTGCACAAACCTTAAAGAGATTTCTATTGTGAAAAATACAGCTTTGTTTGTATTTAAACCGAACACTGTTTCACAAACATTTGTAACAGAAACTGGGGAATCTCACTGAGAACGTGAGCTTGGAGCTAGGATTGAGACGCTTCAGTATTCCCATTAACAACTTGGAAAAAACCTTAAACTTCTTTTTGTCAAAAGTGATGTTTTACTAAAAAACTTCTTCAGTTTTAGGTGATAACTGTTAACATGTGCTAAATGCTTTTAAACATGGGACAATGATTTTGTGTTATTTGAAAGTAAAATCTGCCCCATTTTGTTATGTTGCGTTTACATATATACTAAGAAAACAAAGTTGGAGCAGCAAATAGTTCTCGTGATGTACTCCGCCATGAGGCTCTCACTGAACTGAGGAGTAATGGGTGGTGGGGGGAGGGGGCAGAGTAAACAGCGGCAGGAACAACATGATTGTTATCAGGACACCACTCTCTTCTGTCTGGGATGTGGGGACATTTGGTGCAGTGTAAAAGCTATGGCATTTATATGTAGTAGCACTGTTCAGAAGTTGTCATATATCACAGCATCATGTAACCCATGATAAGACCATGATAAGACCATGGTGAGTCTTTGGTGAGATCTTGGTAAGATTGTTTGTTAGTTAGTTGTTTAACACTGCAATATTCCAGCTATATGACGATGGTCTGTAAATAATTGAGTCTTGTCTGGACAATCCAGTGTTTGATATCATGAGCATCGATCCACGCAATTGTGATATGATCTTGATATGATCTTGATATGATCTTGATAAGACCTTGGTAAGACCTTGGTAAGACCTTGGTGAGATTTTGATAAGACTTGAAATCTGGTGACATTTTGTGTGTTTAATGATAAAATATCAGGTTTCTATGTAGTGATCTATCCTTGGTAAGGGCACTCATGTAAGCATATGGTGTAATTAAAAAAGGAAAGAAAGATGGAAACAGACAGAATGATTACCTTCATCTGTAGGTACTGACACAACAAATCATGAGTTGAGGTATATTGTGCTGAAGATGATTTATCAACTTGGTGAGATCATAAACATATGTATGGCATTGAATCCAATCAACATATCCTGGCACAACCAAGGGATGCAACTCTGCATTCAAATAGTGACAAAATACTGAGTGATTGTGATTAAATAATGTTCCCAATAACTCATGCATATCCTTGGTGAGATCTTGTGGGTTTTGTGACGAGATTATTAGATTATGTAAAACAAAAAATAATATTTTTGTGATAGGGTCATAAAGTGAGTGAGTTGGGTTTACTGATTTGAATAGCATTTTAAGTTGTATCATAGTATCAGCTTGATGTGTGAGGGAAGCCTAAATTGATAAATATCTTTGATGTCTACAACTTTGGTGAAACTCAAGAACACAGGTAAGGTGCTGACAAGACACATAATCAGGGTGAATCTGGTATTTAAAACCCCTACCCTATCTTTTTCGCATGCCAAAGGGATACAGCTCTGCACATAAATTTGTGGTACCCTGAATGACTGTGGGATATGACCAATAATTACCTACTACAATACCTCATATAATACCTTACAGAGTACCTCATGTCAAACCTCATAGGGTACATCAGTATTACAAATATCTTGCAATGGAGAGAAGTGTAATGACTAGCTCCTGGCAGAGGGAGAACCTACATACCCTCCGTGTAATGACTAGCCCCTGGTAGAGGGAGAACCTACATACCCTCCGTGTAGTGACTAGCTCCTGGCAGAGGGAGTACCTACATACCCTCCGTGTAATGACTAGCTCCTGGCAGAGGGAGTACCTACATACCCTCCGTGTAATGACTAGCTCCTGGTAGAGGGAGAACCTACATACCCTCCATGTAGTGACTAGCTCCTGGCAGAGGGAGTACCTACATACCCTCCAGGTAATGACTAGCTCCTGGCAGAGGAAGTACCCTCTATGTAATGACTAGCTCCTGGCAGAGGAAGTACCCTCTATGTAATGACTAGCTCCTGGCAGAGGGAGAACCTACATACCCTCCAGGTAATGACTAGCTCCTGGCATAGAGAGTACCTACATACCCTCCAGGTAATGACTAGCTCCTGGCAGAGGGAGTACCTACATACCCTCCAGGTAATGACTAGCTCCTGGCAGAGGAAGTACCCTCTATGTAATGACTAGCTCCTGGCAGAGGAAGTACCCTCTATGTAATGACTAGCTCCTGGCAGAGGGAGAACCTACATACCCTCCAGGTAATGACTAGCTCCTGGCATAGAGAGTACCTACATACCCTCCAGGTAATGACTAGCTCCTGGCAGAGGGAGAACCTACATACTGTCCATGTAATGACTAGCTCCTGGCATAGAGAGTACCTACATACTGTCCATGTAATGACTAGCTCCTGGCAGAAGGAGAACCTACAGACCCTCCGTGTAATGACTAGCTCCTGGCATAGAGAGTACCTACATACCCTCCAGGTAATGACTAGCTCCTGGCAGAGGGAGTACCTACATACCCTCCAGGTAATGACTAGCTCCTGGCATAGAGAGTACCTACATACCCTCCAGGTAATGATTAGCTCCTGGCAGAGGGAGTACCTACATACTGTCCATGTAATGACTAGCTCCTGGCATAGAGAGTACCTACATACCCTCCATGTAATGACTAGCTCCTGGCAGAGGGAGTACCTACATACCCTCCATGTAATGACTAGCTCCTGGCAGAGGGAGTACCTACATACCCTCCAGGTAATGACTAGCTCCTGGCAGAGGGAGTACCTACATACCCTCTAGGTAATGACTAGCTCTTGGCAGAGGAAGTACCTACATACCCTCTAGGTAATGACTAGCTCCTGGCAGAGGAAGTACCCTCCATGTAATGACTAGCTCCTGGCAGAGGGAGTACCTACATACCCTCTAGGTAATGACTAGCTCCTGGCAGAGGGGGAACCTACATACCCTCCAGGTAATGACTAGGTCCTGGCAGAGGAAGTACCCTCTATGTAATGACTAGCTCCT